CCTATGGTCCCCTGGGGCATGTGAAACCCCTCTGGTCCCCCGGGGCATGTGAAACCCCGCTGGTCCCCCGGGGCATGTGCTAGTGGAAAGGCCTGGATTTCGGAGCCTGGCTGACCCCTCGCCAGCCTTTTGCTTCCCCTCCTTGACGCTGACTCCCCCATGCCGGGAAGCGAGGATCTCAGCACCGATGTCACAGGGCTGGTTGAGATGAGATAAGGCGGGTCATCCATCCAGCCCAGGACCTCGTGAACACCCGTTCCTTCCCTCCTCCCTTCAGTAATCCCAGAGCCTCCTGGCCGGCTGCCTTCTGCCTGCCAGTTTATTGTTCAGTCAACCAAAAATCCTGGAGAAAATCCCTGGATGATTTATTGTAAGCTTTGCAACCTTTGCTTCCTCTATTTATTAACCTCCAGCCAACCAGGGCCTTTCATTTCCCTCCCTAAGCCCGCAGACGCTGACAGCGCCTGAGTGCGTTTTGATGAAGTGCCTGCACCCGCACTCAGTCCCCCCCTCTCGCCGACGGCTCCGGAGAGCCCAGGCCTGGGAGCCTGGCCTGAGCTCCAGCTGACTGCTTCTTCCCATGACCAGGGAGGGGCCCAGTGGTTAGTGAGCCACTGTGAGCTTTCACGCCCCCCGATCTGTGAAATCAGAGTCCACACCTGCCTGCTCTGCGAGGCTGACAGGACGCCGTGGGTGAGAAATGTGATGTGACGGGACAGCGGGGGGCCTGCGGTTACACACACCGGAGACGGGGGTGGCCCTCTGCTTGTCCCCCTGTGGATCTTCTACTTCCCCGTATCCCTGTATCCCGCCCCCTCCCATGCCAGGCCTCTCGCTGGCACAGCTTCCTTTCTCCCTCCCATCCCTACCCCCTGGCACCTCTCACCATAGACCTTCCTTTCTCCCTTCTCCAAGGGATCTGTGGAGGAAACACCTCTAAAAGGGTGGAGAAAGCCACAGGGAAGGTCAAAGGATCGGCCGGGGGGGTGTGCGCGCGTGCGTGTCTGTGTGCGCGCATTTACTGTGCCCCAGGGGCTACCTCACGTAGACCCCCAGCCCTTCTCAGGCAGCTTCCCCGTGCCCACTGACGCGAGGACTTGGAGGCTTGGGGGATGCAAGGACTTTCCGGGAAGAGCCCACCCTGGATCCAAATGAGGACTTTTTAGAGTCTGAGCCCTTGGCTACTATATCTGGCTCCCCAGGCAAAAAATATTTATTGAGCATCTACTGTGCGCTGGGAACGTCAACATGATCCCGCTCAGCCAGCCCCCGGGAGGAAGCGCGCCCCTCGGGGACCAGCACGTCCCCCGCTCGTACCTGACTGCGGGTTTCTGTGCGCTCACCTTCTGCACTGGGCGGCGAGCCTCCTCTCCGCGTGCTCAGCGCCCGCACACACAAAGGTTCTCGCTGAATGCTGGCTGCATTTAAAGAAAAGGAACACGAGGGAACGAGAGAAACGACGGTGGAGGGACAGCCGGGGGAGTAAAGATGTCCCGCATAGAATGGAGAGGTTTCTCCTTTCCGAAATGTCAGTGTGGTTTTTTTTTTTTAAAAATATTATAGACAGAGAGATATGAGGCATATGTGGCCAAATGATAACAGCTGGTGACTCTGAATGAAGGACATACGAGTTACTGGTGTTATTCTTGTAACTCTTCTGCTTGAAACTATAAATTTAACAACAAACCACAATTGTCTGCATGAATGTAGTAAGGGGAAACCTATCTCAGCGTTATCTGTGTACTTTCCAGCTGTCCAGGCAACTGTCCATTACGGCCTGGTTCCCTGCTGCACTCACGGTGCTCGGCACAGAGCGGGTGCTCGGTAAATCCTGGAGCAATGCAGAAGGAAAGACCAATGAGTAAAACGAAGCTGTTCGGATTCCCCCATAGCCCTTCCTTCCTTCGGAACCACAGCAGCACAGCCCACCCAGGAACTGGAAGAAGGGTCCTGCTCCTTCATCATTTCACGACCTCCTCCCAGCCTCACCGAGCAGACGGTCTCGGTACCACGCCTTGGGGACATTTCCCAGAACTTCATTCCAGAAGATGTTGTCCCTCAAGACTGTCTGTATGTGTTGGGACACACCAACGACCAACTCCATCCAAATACATAATGAGAAACCCGGCATTTTTGTGGCGCCCCAATTATCTCCTTTCAGGCATCACTGCTTGAAACCAGAGGGCATGTACTATGAACACTTTTGTTAAGTGAATGAAATCAAAGACCAGTAGCTCTCTGACATTAGAGTCTATGGGTCTGAAACTTCTTAGAACACACTCAGCAGATAACTGACATTTCATAAACCTCGACGGGCTTAAATTGGAAAATTAACCTCAGGACTGCAAAAGCAAGAACAAAAGTCATACGACCATGAACTACATGAATATATCCACACAAGCCCACTAGCCAAGCTGATTTCAGTATCACGAGGAGACAACCGCAGATAGTGGGGAGATACAGGTTTTTTAAATCACCCAGGTTTGGGTTCAAATTCTGACACCCCTATGAACCTGTGTGATTGTGGGCAAGTCCCATAGTTTCCCTGAGGGCTGGTTCCATTCACTTAATAATAATAATACCTTCCTTATATTAGAATGTTGCAGTGAAGCCACGTGAGTGCCCACGGCCCTGGAAGCCTGGCTCACTAAACGGTGGCTCTGTCCCCACCAAGAGTGGGCAGAAGCCATGTCAGAGAGGGGGTTTCAATTCCATTCCTCCCACTGACACAGAGCTCCCTAGAGGCCTGGGGACCACAAACGAAGCCTTAACTCAGAGACAGTGGAGGCTTTGAAACGAACAGAATTAAAGTAGGGTCTGTCCTTTCATGATGAGGCACAAAGAAGCTATTAGTCCGTTCGGCACATATGTGCTCTGTGAACCCGCCCTACACTCAGGGGTCCTGGAAGCTGCACGCTGAGCTGAGGTCCAAGGGGGAGTTGGGAACTTAGTGTCTCTGCCTTGGCCGTGTCATCTAGGAAATGACCGAGGAGCATCCAGGGAACCGATCCCTGCCCCCTAGAGCTGATGTAGCCGTCTAAATGTGGTTCGGGATTGCCCGGGTCTCTTTCAAATGAATTTTCAGAAAGTCCACGAGCGCAGCAAGATTTGGAGCATCCAGGAGGGGTTTCTGCCTAGACTGTTATCGGATGAAGGTCGAAGGAAAGACGAGATATCTAATAATCTTGTTACATAGGTTCAAATCTTCCTGTCTGCCAGTATTTCACCTGTCTTCTTTCTTAGCGGGGAAGGGAGCAGCATTGCTTACTTTGTGGCTTTGGATTCAAACAAGTAGGCCTGGGTTTAAATTCTGGTTCTGCCATGTATTGACTATGTGAATTCAGGGAAGTTACTTAATTTCCCGAGCTCGCTCAGTTTCCTCATTTATAAACAGTAATATCCACTGTGTTGTTTGGCTGCAAGGATTCAATGAGCTAATGCATGCAAAATGTCCCTTCATATCATGGTTACTCAATAAATCTTAACTCTCCCGGATACTGAATATTTCGGGGGCTAAATGAGAGAATCCTTGTCTTCCTTCCAGCTGAATGCCAATATTGGTTTATTTAAGCATGAAAACATCGGTGTGACCCATTTATCGGCTGGTTCTACCCCAGGGCAGCGATCAGGAGGAATCCACACCTATCCCGTTGCGTGTCCAAATGGCTGCAGCTCCCCACACACGGGCTGGCAACGAGCCGCTGCTCCCAACGCGAGTTCTGGGAATTCATGCCGTTGGCTCTGCAGACCTTGGCCAACATCTGAGTGCGAGACTTAAGTAAGATCAACCTCAGCGTGTCAGGCACCTGTCTTTGGGGAGATAAGATTTTCTCCTGTTGGTGTGTAGAGTGTCAGTTTCTGGCTTTTGTAAATTCGGTGTCCGTGAAGCGACATCATTCTGCAGTTTGTACCTATTGTCTCAAAGCAATTAGCACCTGCTTTCACTCTCGGAGGTGACCCAGTTTGGATGATAAATTATATGGTCACTACGAGAGCCACAGGACTGCCAGTGGAAGCAAGGTGGCTGGGCACAATTCAGGTGCCAAGGAAAAAAAATGTAAAAAATAAAAGGCTTTAAGGAATTAAAAATCGATTTTTAACGTTGAGGAATCAGTACTACTTGGCCGAGGTCGCTGGTAGTAATTAATCCAAAAGCTATCGATACATCTACTGACAGTGGCCTTCTCTAGAGAAAGGAGTTTTTGACTGTGCACATGTGTGTATGCAGGAAAGAGAAGGCACTGGCGTGCTTTTAAATGTTTAACAACCAGCTCTTGGGGGTGGCGGTGCCCTGATTTGTGGTGTAAACTGCTTGCGTCACTGCCAATTTTGAGCTACATATGTGATGTCACTGAACACAGAAGCAAAGAGATGCACGCTGAGTTCTCGTGAGCTGGCTCCCACATGCCAACGGCGAAGGGGGTTTAACATGGACTTTGAACACTCCTGGAATGCTTTCGTTTTTACTACACTCATGGATTAATTTTGTAATATACATGTTGCATATCTGCTGTATACGTAATATATGTATATGATATACACATACACACATACTAACTTATTTATATCTGTTTGAGGGTTAGTCCTAATCATTGTTTTCCCAATTTTTAAAAATAAATCTATGTGGAATATCCATTTGAGCATATCACACACCCAGGGTCTCCTAAACCAGGTCGCTGGGGGGCCTCAGATGACCCCCAGGGTCCTGTGAAGGGGGTGGGCGCTCCCTTTACTACTGTCCCCAGGATGTACCTTGCTGTCCCACGTCTGGCAGACAGAACATCTGTGCTGAGACAGGAACTGAGTGGGAAACGTGAAAATGCTTTGAGGGTTAAAGGATAAAGTGAAACCTAACCCCAGGCGAGGAGAGAAAACGTTAACATTCAAAGGACGAGAAAAATGAACCGGGAACAGAGCGTGGGAAGCTGCTGCGTGTCAGCCTCGCTCTCGCCCCGAAGCGCGGCCCGGCGGCTCCTGACACAGCAGAGGGGCGCGGGAAGGAACGCTCCAGACTCCCGTTTATTGAACGCGGCGCTCGCCACGCACATCGCGACTCACACACCGCCCGGCAGAGGGGCACCGGCTCGGTCTCATCAGTGTAAACACAACATTAACATTGAAGATTCAAGAAAATGGGTAAAAAGTCCAGTGTCTCCTCACTCTGTAAGAGTGAAGGTGCTCGCCGACCCTCCGGACAGGTCCCAGCGGGCCTGAGGTCGCGACCTCGCCCCGGCCACAGCGGAGCGGGCACGGACACGGAGGGGCCCGACGCGCTCTTCCCGGGCCTCTCCCAACAGACGTGCATCTTCAGAACCGGGCTCGCACGAGTCGGGAAAGTTCTGAAGGCCTGAGGGCTTCATACCTTCCACGTGCACCGAGACAGTCCCTCCGGAGCCCTTTCCCCGGGAATCAGTCATTGCCAGTGGAAAATGTGACCGGTTGTAAAATAGTTGGTTGTCATCTTTCCGTCTTGGCCCCTGGATTCCGGGACGTGGGGAATTCAAGGTCATGGGGGCCTCGCTGATGATCCTGTAGAAGGCTGCCCACGTTCGACTACTGGCTGAAGACTCTTCCTCCCTGCTGGGCCGCTGCCGATAGAGGGGTGTTGGTTGAGGCAGCTGATTTTCCCATCAGAGCCTTAAAAGACCAGATTTTCTATTTTGGATTCCCATACCAAAAACAAACAAACAAAATCCCCCCAAACTAAAACAAATCGAAACAAGAGTGACCTTGAAGATAAAGTCAACCCTACCTCCAGGTCCTGCCACGTACAATGTCCCCATTGGGTTTTTTGTTTTTTTTCCAAATGGTTGGTTCCAATCATTGGATTGCCCTCGCCTTGGGTACTCAGCTAGATTGCAGGGCAAAGAAGAAAGTATCCTCTGAATGAAAAGACATTTTTGCTTTTATTTCCTGGGATGACTGACCCCCAGCACCCTGACTTTCCTTTCCTAAAAAGCAACAAGAACATTCTAAAGACCTGCTTGGATTTGTGGCTTTGTGGTAGGATAACCCCGGTGCTCCCTCTCACCCCTCCACGTCCCAGTCTTGAAGAGAATAGGCGGGTGAGCTATTTTTCCACATTCTGGGAATGCTGGGTTGTGGGGCAGAGAGGGGCCGGACGGATCCTTGTCCCAGATCTCCGTGGTGTGGGCAGCCTTGTTGGGCCAAAGAGACAAATAAAAACAAACCAAAAAAGCATTGCTTAATTTTGAGTTTCAAGGCTGGGCCCCAAACAGCCAGTGGCTCTCCCCCTGCAGAACGTCGCCCCCTCGCGGTGGCCTCTTGGTGCTAGCTGTTGTTCTCAGCCGTGAGATACTTGAGGGCGGCAAAGCCATAGCGGCGGGACATGTCCTGCTGAAACTCCTCCTTCAGGGTTTTGAGACAGATGCGGTATTGCTTGTTGGACCGGAACTTGGTGATGTCGAAGCTGGGGGCATGAGGCATGTGGATCATGTAGGCATTGGGAAGCACGATGAACTCGTATTCCTGCAAGGAGACAAGAGCGGCTTGAGCGCTTGCAAGAACCCTCGGTAATGTATGAGTCCGCGGGGATGACCGAATGACTAAGCGAATGAATGAAGCGAGGAATGACAGGGACAAAGAGGGCAGTGCCATGGACGGCGCCACCGGGGTGTTCCCATGGCGCCGGACAAAGTACTTGGCTTCTCTGAGCCTTGGTTTTCTCACCTGTACAGTGAAGGTAATAATACCGACCTTGAGAGATGACTAATAATGTTTGCATAGTGCTGGGGAGAGCTCATGGTCCACAAAAGGCTCTTGATAAACGTAAGCATGTACCTGTGTAGTTGCTTTAGAATGACGCAAGCCCTGAGCGAGTCTCTTGGTCAATTAAATGACGCCTGTGTATGTGATTTCTCACGGGGCTTGAGGAGATCTGAGAGCCTCCACAGATGAGTACAAAGGAGGGGACAGAAAAGGCATAAAAAAGAGGTTCCACTGGTCTGAAGCTCACCAAGAATAAAACTTTTGCCTACACATCTTATTACAAGGCACACCATCCAGCGGTGTCCTCTATGTGACAGGATACAGACAGAAACTCGGGCCAAAACTGAAATGTCTCCAAACAGCAAAACAGGTGACAGAAATTTAGGACCAGTAACTCAAAGGAGAGCCCAGCACACCTTTGTTCCAGGTCTATGTCCGCTGATTTCGGACGTAATGTCTAATAAGCTTTGGTCACCTAGTGGCTCAGCCCAGAGCAGAATACACTCAGAAAATTAGGATGGAGGAAGCGAGAAATGACAGCTGGTGGTGAGAAAGGAGCGAAAAGAAAATGCTTAGCTGCCTGAGACATTCCCATGGGACAGAGAGACCTACCGATCCACTAGTGCCTACAGGTGGGGCTGGATTACCTGTCGGGCGTGCACCATTATTACCTGACATCGCTAGAAAGGGTAAAGTCATGTTTGGCACGTGCTATTGGCAAAGAAAGGAAAATAGGCGAGGAATTTAAGAGTTCTGTCAAAAGTGCCTAAAACAAACAAAGCCCAGATCTCGGTGCTGCAAGAAGTAACTTTATTTGGACCAGCTCACCCAGACGCACTGCATTACAACAGTTCTTTCCTTTCGAGCAGAAGCAGAGGCAGACTAAACATTTCTGTCATCCCTTCCACGGATTACTGCAAATGTGGCTACTAGAGGTCACACTTTCCGTGGTCAAATATGGCCACTATTCTATACCCTTCTATCTGTATCAGTGGTCCTCGGACCCAGGTGCTGATGGAAACCACCTGGGGCTGCTCTCAAACAACCTGGAACTGCTGGGAAGCTCTCCAGGTGACTCTCGGGGCAGCCAGCACTGAGCATCCAGCCCCTTCCCCTGAATTTGGGGTGTTCTTGTTGAGAAATATTTCCACTGTGCTCCAGGTGGAGCCTTGGAGAACAGCAGACAGAGAGAGAGGGTGGGGGGCCGAGGGGCCCAGGCATCTGCCCGACCTTAACCCGATTAGTTTTGCTGTTGGTCGTTTAAATGGAGGGTTGACTGACTGCAGCACGTCTGGCCCACTGCATGTTTTTATAAATAAAGCTTTACTGAACACAGCCATACCCATTTGTTTAGATACTGCCTACGACTGAACTACAGGAGCAGAGTTGAGTCCCTGAGCCCCACAGAACCTCCCCAAATTGACTATCTGACCCTTTACAGAAAATGTCGGCAGACCCTGGTTTGATTTAACCTATTTGAATTCTGCAGGAGATCGCTAGGTGCATGGTAAGTATTAGCGGAATGAATGAAAGGGTTTCATGAGTAAAGACAGCCTAAAAAGACCACTCTTAGTCGTGGGGTGAAATAATTAGCTGAATCTTAGCTGCATCCTCTGTGGCATTTACATGCCTCACAGGCTGAGTGATGAATGATCACCATTTGTCTTTAGCACTAGGTTGAGTGAGGATGAGGGGGTGACATGGTTTGTCCCAAGACACCCACATTTGCCCAGGTCTTGGCCTGGAGCCCAACTCTCACCCAAGGATAGAAGAGGAATAGTCTGGGAATCGGCACCCCCGAAGGCCTAGTGCTGCCACATTCCCACGCTAGGCCCCTGAACACGACTCGTTCCCTCTTAGGTCTCTGCTCTTACCTCCTAGGCCCCTTCCAGCTCTAAGCTTGAGTCCCCCCCTCCGGTCCATGACATCCCACTCTTCTCACCTGCGCATCAAGTTCCATGATGTGAGCCACCTTGTTCCAGCCAAAGCCCACGAACCTCCGGTCGTACTCAGGGCAGTCCCGTCTCACGACCACGTACGGCTCGAAGTCGGCCTCCCACTCCACCCGGTAAGGCGTGGTGGCGGTCCGCCACTTGGCGAAGTTGGTGGGCGCGTGGCCTTTTGTCCAGACGTGGTACCTGGGACACATGGAGAAAGGCGACTGAATGGAAAGAAGGAAGCTGAGCTTTCCAAATGCCGCGGATCGAGAGGAAAGAGAGGTCTATGCCGATACGATCCTTGTCGTGGGTTGAACTGTGTCTGCCCCCAAAGATACATTCAGTACCTACCCCCAGTACCTGTGAAAGAGGCGTATCTGGAAATAGGATCTTTGCAGATGTGATCAAGATGAGGTGGTGATGGGTTAGAGGGGGCTTTGGTGCCAACACTGGTGTCCTTATAAGAAGGGGTGAACTAAATATAGGGACACACAGGGAGGAAGGCCATGTGAAGACAGGGCAGGATTGAAGTGAGGCTCCCACGGGTCACGGACACCAAGGATGGCCGGCAACCAGCATAAGCTAGAAAGAGGCAGGGAAGGAGTCTTCTCTAGAGCCTTCTGTGGAAGCAGGAACCTGCTGACACCTTGATTTGGGACATCTGGTTCTCAGAACTGAGAGAGTAAATTTCTGGTTTGAGACACCCAGTTTGTAGTGTTTTGCTACGGCAGTCCTAGGAAGCCAACCTATGTCCTTTACTAGCAAGGAGACCCTCTCTGTGAAAGGGTAGGTGAGCCCCTGGAGGGCTCTGTAGCATTTATACGGAAAGAACTGTGGGTTAGCCTCTGCCAGAGTTATGCCTCCCAGAGACCACTGTGGAAGGCAGAGGTCTAAGGTGACCCTCAACGACATCACCTTTTTAAATGGTTTCCCCCTTGAGGTAGATCCTGTGAATGTATCAGTCCTGTGATTATGTTACATCATAAGGCAAAAGGGATCTTTGTAGATGTAATTAAGGTTGCTAATCAGTTACCTTGGAATTAGTTGAAAGGGAGGTTACTGGGGTGAGTCTGCCTGAATCATGTGAACCTTTAGATCCATGTCTGGAGAAAGCAGAGCTGTGTGGGAGCTGCCTCTGGGGGCCACGTGGCAAAGAAACAGCTGGGAAATGGGGACCTCAGTCCTGCAATCTCAAGAGAAAGAATTCCACCAACGACCAGGGAGCACGCAGGAGGGCCACGTGCAGCCTCGCCCGCACCTTGATTTCAGCCAGGTGCCACCTGAGCAGAGCAATCTGGTTATTCTGTGTCCGGACCTCACACCTCTGGAGACTGTGTTATAATATATTTTTATTGTTTTAAGCTTTTAAATGTGTGGTAATTTGTTATACAGCAATAGAAAATGAATGTGACCCCATAATAGCAATGGTCACAAGTTAATGTTTATTAAGCACTTACTATATACACCAGGTGGCCTCCAAAAAAATAGTGATGAGAGAGGCTTCCTGGGCACCCTTTATAGAATGCTACTTAGAAGAGGCCTGGGGGGACTTTGCTTTGAGCAGTGGTTCTCAAACTTCAGCCTGTATCAGAATCACCGGATGATTACCATCTCATAGTCAGATTGCTGGGTTCCACCCCCAAAGCTCCTGATCCAGTAGGTCTGGGGTGGACTTGCGACTCTGCATTTCTACCCAGTTCCCAGGATGCTGATGCCACTGGTCCAGGGACCACTCTGAGGACCGTGGTCCTAGAATCCAGGTAGAGGCGTGGATGACTTCTCAGGTGCAGTGGGGAGCAGGCTTCAGCTGCTGGGAGGCTAAGAGTTCACCATTTGGAGGGAAGGTGACAAAAGCAACTTCTTGGAGGGAAGGTCTATAATTTGGCACCGGGCACGGTGGCTTGCACGCTGCTGGCCAGAGCAGCAACCATGGACAGAGGAGGACAAACACCGGATGTTGTGGCCACGGACTTGGCCTTAAAATGAATTCTCAAATCATCTGGGGACGGAGCTGGAAGGCTGGATGCCTTGGAAATGTGCCAGGCTATGGCATCTGTGGGAGACTCGGACTTGGGTTTGGTCTCAGAGTCTTAATTTGCCTGAGGCTTCAAACTGATTGGTGAGAACATTCTGGACTTGACCAGCAGTACGATAGTATTTTGGTTATAAGTACAGACTTGGGCTGGTTCCAGGCTCTGCCATGCACTGACTGTGTGTCCTTGGGCAAACTGTTTAGCCACACAGAGCCTCAGTTTCTTTATTTGTGAAATGGGGGTGATAGCCTCTGCCTGATAGGTTTGCTGTGAGGATTAAACAAGCTGACCACAGTACGTGGTACAAGGCAGCCACTCAATAAAGGGAAGTTGTTATTACTTCTTTCTGAGCAGAATAAAGGCCTGGCTTGTAGGGATATGAACTCTTTCAGGACACCTTCCAGAATTCTGGGGAGAGGAAGACAGTTGGAGTTTGAATCCTGGCTCCACCAGGAATCCCTCCCCTCCTCAGTGTCATTATCTGATAAAAGGATCATACCTGAGCTCCTGAAGTTATTTTCTCAAAATAAAGTTTGTTTGAGAAACCCTTCTAGAAACTTCAGAGTAGTATGAAAACCCAAGTTACCATTTCAATCTTTCAATAAAATCACATTTTCTAGAAATGTATTTTTTTTAGCTCAAAGGATGCGTTGGCCACTCTTCTGTCTTCACAATGGAGGCTTCTCTTCAAAGAGGAGCAGACAGGGGCAATGTTGTCTCTCCAGACTGCTCTGCGAAGAGACCCAGCAGGGATCCTACGTGTCCCCGGGGTAGGTACACCTAATGGTCCAAGGCCAGCAACAAATTTCCGGGCGAACAGCTTTGGCGTGTGGATTTCTGGAAGCGAGGAGACCTCTGGGCACCCCCAAGGGCCAGCCGTGAGGGCCACTCACCTGAACGTGAAGAGAGTCCCCATGTCCAGCATGGACAGCAACTCCGCTTTGGATTTGGGGAAGGAGAGCCGGTAGCGCAGCGTCTCGAACGCAGGGACGATCATCGCTTTCTTGGTATTGGCGAGGTCGAGCTGGATGACCGACTTCCTGAAAGGACAGGGCGGGACAGACAGGGTCGCTGTGATGCCTGGCGATGGCCATCCCCATGCAAGGGCAGGGCGGCGGCTGGCTCAGGGAGGTGCAGGAGAGAAAGCCCAAGTCAGCCTCTCGGTTTATAGACGGTGAAACGGAGGCCCCGGGAGGCCGAGCAGCTTGCCCAAACCCCTCCGGAGTCCAGCCTAGAACTGCTGTCTCTGAGCCAGAAAGCGAGGGTCTTCCTGGCCAGGTGGCAAGGGCTGGGGACCCTCTCTCACTTCACAGTGCGTGGCCCTCCCAGAGCCAAGCACGGCAGGCGGGTCTCCAAGGTTCCAGGGGCTAGAGCCCGGCCTGCTGGGTTCACTGGGCTGGCCACACAGCTGCAGCCGGACATACGCCGATGAAAGAAAGGTCAACCTGGGCATTTCCAGGTCCCATCTCCGTGACTCTTCTACCCCTTGAGCCTTTAAATTAGCCGGACCCACCCCATGCAGCCAGCAGAGGCCTGCACTGGAGCGCCCACCTGTTTCAGAAACTCCAGAACAAAGTCACTTTCTCCTAAGGCTTCGTGCAGTCAGGGAGGGGAGCTGGACCCCTGCACCTCCCTTGCCCGGCTCTGCTCGCCTGCACCTGTGCCCCTTTGGAACTGTTTGTCCTGGGCTATTTCTGTCACTGGGGATGGCAGAAGTAATAACATCCAGGTTGCCTGCTAGGTACCTATCAGCTCTGCTAGGCCTGATGTCAGGGCCGTTCATGGCCCAGTGCCAGGCACACAGCAGGCACTCAATAAATACACAGGGAGCAAAGAAATCAATCGGCAGTTGTCATACGTGGGGACAGAGGATGGCATGGGGAAGAGGGCCCTCTGGAAACGACAGAGCTGGGGTGAAATCGTAGTTCTCCCACTTAAAGACACAGAGCATGTATCGTCTGCATTTTAACCCTCCCACCCTTATAAGGGGAAGGAAAACCCTTATCCCTGACTAGGTTGCCATGAAGAGATAACACCTGTCAGGCCTACCCAGTGCCTGGTGCAGGGAGGGCACTGGCAATCCTGTGCTTTTTCCTTCCCGGGTCCTCTGCAGACCGCCTGGGCGTGTGTATTCTGCTGGGGTGCTCACCAGGAGAGATGGGTGATGTTGGGGTGAGCCCTGTTTGAAGAGGAAGCTGAGGCCCGGCTCTGATTTCAGATTTCAGTTTATTCCTGGAACTAACGTGTGGGTGTCGTGCAAACCGAACCAGTGATGGGGCTGGCAGATGGCGATCGGCAGCAGGGCTAATGCGGCCACAGAGACAGTCAATCGGTGAGGGGCAAGGACAGGCGTGCGTGCGTGTGTGCCTGTATGTGTGTGCATGTGTGAGTGCATGTGTACATGCGAGAGAGAGGCTTAGGAAGGCTATGAGAAGCCCCACACCCCTTTAAAGGGCCCTGCATCGACCGTACTAGATGTAAGCAGGGCTTTCAGCCAGGGCCAAGGGACAGCATCTGAATAAACACCCCTCAGGACTCAGCCACCCACCTCGGGCAGAGGAAAGCAGCAGTAGAGCGAAGCTGCGCCTATCTGCTCTGCCATCCGTGGAGGCCCAGCCCATCTAGGCCCTTCTTCACATCCCTGGACTGGAGGCCAGGTAACAGGGTTTACTCGGATTCTATCACAGCTGCCAAGGAAACAAGCTCCTGGCAGAGAGGCTTCCAGGAGGTGCGTGGGGACCACAGCCAGGACTTGCAAATGAGGGAGATGAGCCTGCTCTCAGTGAAAGTGGAAAATGCACGCGGGAGGGGTGAGGTCAGAGGCCTGCAGAGTCACACTGAGAGCCCCAGAGATCCAGCTCCGACCTTGATGGTATTAACACATCAAAGGGAGAACCAGTCAGTCAGGGCGGGGCAGTAAAGAAGCTGAGCTTGAGCTTCTGGGTAAATTGAAAGAGCTCTGGTTTACGGCGCCCTGCTCTGTGCTTGGGGCTCCACAGTCACTATCTTCTGTATTCTCAACATCACCCCTGTTTAATTACCCCATTGCCCTGACGTTGACTGTCAGCGGCTGTGGCTAAGCATCAGGGCGCTTTCTCTGTGCCGGCCCCGTGTTACATGCTGGCCACGGTCACCGGCAGTCATCAGGAAGGCGCCTCTGGGGCAGACGGCCCAGGTTAGGTGCCACCCGGACGCTCAGCAGCTGTACTCCTGAGCTCGAGACATCTTTGCCCCAGTTCTCTCCTCTGTGAGCTGGGAGCAGAGTTAGTACCTGGACTGCGGGTTTTGTGAGGATTAAGCGGATTACCTCGTGGAGGGGTGAGACAGTTCTCTACCGCAGAGAAGGCACATGATAAAGGCCACCTGTGATCATCACATGGCCACCGTGACGGTGATGGAGACGGGCCGTCAGGCGGCTGGATCAGTGAACTCGTTAAGCAGGGACACCTCTGGATGAGCCCCGGGTAAGCTAAATGTCCACCAGTCATGCTGTGCCTGTGGGCACGCGACTTAAGCTAAACCTCCTCATTGGAAAATGAATTGTGAGGTTAAATGACAAAATACATGGTAATAGTGCCTGGCACATAATAAGTGCTCGATAAACATTAAACGCTATTTCCAGTAGGATTAAAATGATGAATTAACCTAAGGAAATGCCACCTGGTAATGTCTCCTGGCAGGCAGCCAGCTGGCCTTGCTCAGCGCCACCCCTACCGGCCTGGTTCAGGCTCCTGTGCTCCTTCAACAGGTATTTAGGGAGCGCCATTCGGAGCCAGGAGGTGGGATGGGGGAGGGTGGTCAGGCGTCATCCTGGAGGGAACAGAGTAGCACTGAAGTCTGTTGTTCTCGTACACGTCGGAATAGAGACTCTGCCCAGGGCCACATGTCCATGCCCTGGAAAGTCAAGGCAATGTCTGCAAAGCACAGCAGGGACGGGTTAAGCTCTAGGCACTGGACAACGGTGAGGATTCTGCATGGTTAGTGCAGGAGGTGAGAACCTGCCCTGTGTCCCCCTGCTGAGGGCAGCTGTCTTCCCACCTGCGATCCCTCTGCCATTCTAGAACATTCCTCAAACATGCCATATGTTTTATGCTTTTTCTTAAAAAATATTTTTTTAAAAATTGATTTTTAAAGTGAGAGGAAGAGAGAGGGAGAGAGAGAGAAACACTGATGTGAGAGCGAAACATTGAGGAGCTGCCTCCTGCATGCTCCCCACCAGAGATGAAGCTTACAACCCGGGCACGTGCCCTGAAAGGGAATCGAACCAGCAACCTTTTGTTGCACAGGACGATGCCAACCAACTGAGCCACACTGGCCAGGGTGATATTTTATGCCTTTATATCTGTTAGTCCTTTAAGCTGGAACTCAACCATCACCTGTCCTCCAGGCCTTCCCTGCCCATGACATTGGGTCACCTGCCTGTGAGCCTGAGGCCCTGGACCTTTTATCTCTGTGTCTGCACTGATGACAAGCACCAGAGCGTCCAGCTGGAGTGCCCCCTAGAACATAAACCCCAAGGGCAGGAACCCCCAGAGCCTAGAACAGAGCCAGCCACGGCAGATACACATGCAATGCATATTTGTGGAATAAAGACTGTCCCAGCCTTGTGGTAGGTGCTCTCCAAATGCTATTACATTTACTCTTCCCAGGATCTTCAGAGGGAAGAAATAATATGATCTCTATTTCACAGAGGAAGGAGGTTAGAGAAGTCAGGTCCCTCTGTCAAGGTCAAGCAGGTGCTAAGGAGTACGCAGCACTGAAAAGCAGGTCTGAGTGACTCAGCACTGTCCTGATGTGGCACACTGCCTGGCACACAGTAGGTGCTCACTAAATATTTTCTTGAATGAATATGGGCATATAGTTTCTCATTTTATAAGAAAGAAAATGGAGATGGTTAGATGGAGTGACTTGGGCTGTACTCAAGGTAGAGGGATTGGGGTGGGTTGGGGGCCTGGCAAAGAAGTTTGATACCCCGAGTGCTGGGCATAGGCCAAAGGACAAAATTCCCTCCTGCCGAGTACCTGCTGCTCCTCGCAAGAGGCTATTATTTTCCCCTTCATTAATTGAGTAAACAGAGGGTTGGGAGATGCAGCAAGCTGCCTCAAGTTGCACACTTGACACATGTACAAGAACCTGAACTCAAAGGCAGGTCTGCCATGGCCCTGGCTGAATTTCACTTGATGTTTCTGAAACCGAGACTAAAAGCTGCACGACTTTCTCTAGAAGAAAAGGCGAAGGGGCAGGAGAGAGACTTTAGTGAAACTCTGTAGCTGTGTCCATGCATATAACTGACTTCATTATTTTCCAACGGATCTGTTTTTATTGTAATATTAGCTGGTTGCTAAGCAACCGCTTAGGGAGCTAGGATGCTGAACTTTTTTTGGTACCTACGTAGGCCCCCCGAAGGGTGATGCAAGAGTTTGGGGGTCCAATGAGAGGACTGCCCATCAGCTTGCCCTAGGATCCTGGGGTTTCAGAGTGACCTGGCCCTCCATAGAGAGAAGGCTGGCATAGAGGGGAGGCCACCCTCCTCCTCCGACACAAGTCTAACCTCTCTGGGGCCTTGGTCTGGTCACCTGTAATAACACTTATCTCCTAAGGAGGCATGAAGAGTAGAAGAAATATACAAAAAACAGCTGGCAGAGTTGTTGGCACAAGATAAGGGCTGGATGCATTATAACTATCATTTTTAACATTCATATTTTAACAGCACTCAGGAAGAGCATTCTGCTGCATACCTACGCTGGAGAAGTCAGTTTCTAGGGGTATCCCCCGGCCTTGTTGGGATCCACGACCACCTCAGCAAACAGTACCCTTAATCTCGTCCCAAACCAATGCGACAAACGCTGGTCACAGAGCACAGCTACTTTCAGTGTTTGGATCAGAAACAAATCCATCCCACTCAATGGGAAACATTTTCCTAAGCCAACAGCAAGTCAATACACTTATCTTCATCTGAAAAAGGACAGTGCATGATTATTTAGGGGTTCTGACAGAATTATATTCTTTCCCAATTCTCAACATTCTGGTGCCTAGGAATTATCCAGGTCAGAGGAAGGGGTGGGAGGTTCCACTCAGACTGCGGACATGGTCTAGCTTAACAATGTGTTTGTTTTTTTAAATTCGTTTCAGCATTAAAACTAAAACATGAAAATCCAGATTTCTAGCTCCTCTAGAGAAACAAGAAGACCTTAGCCCTGCCCTCCTCTCCATCCCCCAGGCAATAATCCCGCAGTTACAGTGGAGACACCAGCTGCCCTGATGGGGGCGGTGGTCTCCCTAGTCAATCACACTCAGCATCCTTGGCTTCCCTAGGCCAAGATCCTGGCCCCTATGGGCATCTGAGTTTTGACTCCTGATATAAGTCCATTTCTTCATTTTACAACAAAGAAACAGGCTGAAAGAACAGAGCTGCTGGAAGTCGCACCGTTCACTAAGGCAGAGTGTGAGCTGGAACAAAGATTCAAGGGTTCCAGGGTCTCGGCCAGTGCCTCGCCCACCATAACCCTCAAAGCCAACGCCATGATGTCAGGCTCAGCCTCAGGAAGCACACGGGGACAGCAGGCCAAGAGGGGCCAGCGGGAGAAACAGGCCAAGGTGGGCAGGGCTTCGGGGCAGTGCAGGCCCTGCGGCTCAGGGGAAGTTCTAGGGGCAACATCTGGAAGAGCTTCCCTTCTAAAGTCCAGACACCTCTGCAGACAGTTCTCGATTTCAGCCGCACAGTCTCTCACTGGTCTGTCCACCCATCTCTGCTGCTATTTCCCATCGTTTGACCGGTCGGTTTCCATCATCTCCCACGTGGATTAATGCAGTATTTCCCTCCTCTGGTCCTACCGATTGTGCTCCTCCCACGATGCAGCTGAAGGCCCTTCCTTACACACACAGCCGATCACGCCATCCTCAGGATTTTCACGAAGTCCGACTCCTTAGCACGTCTTACAGTAAGTCCCGCGAGACCCACCCTGGCTGACATCTCTGACGGCGTCATCCATGGATATCTCCTTCTGCCTGGGACACTGCCACCTCTCCTGGCCAACTGCAACTCAGCCTCCAGGCCTCCGTTTAGACCTAACTGCTCAGGACATCCTTTCCTAAGCTCCCTCCAGCCTCACTCACATTAGGCCACCACCACCCGGGCACCCCCATCACAGTACCTAAAGAACCCGTGTCTTTAAGGGTTTCTTCCGCTTTCTGTAAGCTCTGTGATTCACAGTTCCTATCTGCATGGGTCATGGATGTGGGGGCATGTAGTAGGTGCCTTATACATTGTTATCTACTAAATGAATAAAAAAATAAATGGACACTAATGGATGGAGAAGAAATATCAGGAAGGTCACTCTGGACGGGCAAGTCCCCCCTTCTCTGGTCTTGGTTCCCATGTACATAGTCAAGAGGACGAGGCAAGATCATTTCCTCTCTGCTCGGGGCCCCTGGACTTCCACGGGGTCCGTGAAGAAAGGGGTGGAGTTTTAGGAGCCCTGTGCACTACTTCAGAACCCCTGAACCACACGCACTGTGACAAGGTGCCCAAAGCCAACTACAATTTCAGGTGACTCTGGAACGAAGTAGATATTAATTACGGGGCAAGCTGGGCATCTCACATCGAGTACAGTCTTGATTAGTGTTTAGTAACGTCTTTGATCAACACAGCGTAGGAAGACAACATACAAACACAGCGCTCAGGTGTAATGTTCTTCAAAACACGATGCCATGAGGTGAAGTAATAAAACAGCGCTTGGACAGGGAGAGGAGAGAGCACGGGCTTCTAAGGAGGGCTCGCTCTTCCTGCGGAGGCCCAGAAGCGTGGAAGAGGGCAGCGGTCCTGAAGGCTCTCTCTTCTTGGTCAAGGTCACTCCTCATCCCGTCTGCTCCTTTGGGAGCTCCACCTGACACCCAGAGCGGTCCCCCTGCAAACTGCCCAGCGGCAGAAGCCACAGGAATCAGCGGCTGAAAGCCCTGTCTGGCCACATGGGGGCGCCCTCACCCCACACACTGGGATTCCCGCCCAGCTGGAGCAGGAGCAGCACAGCTCCGTCCCTAGTGCCCCCTGGGGTGTGGGTCAGGAGCTGGGTCCTCCGGGCTCTGGACCACAGCAGACGCTGTCTGGAAAGACGCCGTTCATCCTCCCTGAAGGAGGGTTATGTTGCCCCGAGGTCGCTCACACTGTTCTTAACAGCAAGGCTGGAAGGAGGGGGGCTCCTCCTGCTCACAGGGAGGGATTGATGCTCCGAACCCCCAAGAGAACCCTGGAAGCAAACCCGAGGCAGAAGTGGACAGAGAACACAGCCGTCTTCGCTGGAGAGAACAGGGCAGGAGGGCGCCCACATCCCACCTACACTCTAGCTTCAGTTCTAAGGTTTCAGCTCTTCTGGAAGCTCTTTTTAGAGTGACACAGTAAGGCAGAAAGACCGAGAGACACACACACACAGACAGACACGCACATACACACACACAGAGGAAGGGAGTAGCGAGAAAGATCAGGTCCTGCCCCATCTGGGGCAGCCAAAGACCCCAGCGCCCCAGACAGGTACTGACACGGCAGCCTGCAGACTCGGAGTCTGACGGACGTGGGTTGAAATCCCAGAGCCAGCTGTGTGGACTTGGGGGGATGACTATGCTTCTCTGAGCCTCACTGTTCCAATGGTAAAAGGGGGGGTCACCACTCCTGCCTTTTGGACGTGAGGTGTGGATCCAGGGGGTAATTAATATGTGCAAACCACCTCTCCCGGTACCTGGGCCCAGGCAAGCCCTCCCGCGGTAGCAGAGGTAACGTATGCTGACAAATGACAGTGGTAAGGAACTTAAAAAACATTTGATCATTTACAGTGTAGATTCTATGCCGTGGGACTTGAGCTTTCTCACTTGGGGACGTTAGGGCTGTATGAATTCTACAGTCCCGTTCAGTTCAGACTGCTATCCCATATAAAGGTCACTCCCCACACAGCCATCTACACCTTCAGGAGCTGAGTTTCTCCAGCCCCTGGATGCCTGGCCCTCCCCACGGGGAGAGTGGGGAAGGCGCACTGGAGAGGCAGAGACGCGGCGTGCAGGTGAGTGTGCACAGGGCCTGGCCACGCTGTGCTCAGCCCCCGCACGCCCGCTGTGTAACCTCGGGCTAACAGCTTCAGCCTCACTCCTGCATCTCCCAGTGGGAAAATGAAGATAATCATAGTTAGTACCCACGGCAGGCACCGTAGGGAGAGGGGATGACACCCTGTGTGTCAATCACTCAGAACAGTGCCTGACACTCAGCAAGGGCTTCGCTAAGGGTTAGCCACCACCATCACTATGATTCGTTTCACAGAATAGGCACTGATCTCTCTAGATGGTTAGATGAAGGTTGTCTGACCCCAAACTGGACAAGGAATGAGGTTTTCATAGAACCTAGGGAAAAAACGTTGGACTGGGGTGGGGGCAAAAGAGATGCTTCCTAGACCACGCTCTGCCACTAACATTTCAGGAGGCAAGCTGGGCTTTCCTCCAATCTGTTCGCAAGGGAAATGGAGACTTGGGGGTGACCCCAGGGGGCACTGTGTTTCTGGCAGATGTGTGCCTGTGTCCGCAGGCCCTTACCTGAGGTACTCATAGAGCCCGTACATGGGCAGGAAGTCAATGTCGGACAGGAACATGTAGGGTGTGCCCACGTGCTTCATGGCCACGTTGCGTAGCAGGTTCACGGGGTAGAACTGGCCCTCCTTGTACACGATGTGGTAGGCCACATTGTGACGGCTCATGAGCACCTCGGAGCCCTGCGCATAGCGGAGGAACTGCTGGGCCTCGGCGTCAGACAGGTAGAGGGCCAGGCTGATGGGCCCCTCCCAGTGCTTGCAGATGGCCTCGAGCATCTGGAGCCTGCAAGAGACAGGCAAGGTAAGCCATGGAGATGGCCCCATCCACGCATCCTCCACCTGGCCTCCTGGAGGGACTCTACCTCCATGGAAACTTGGTCAACCAGGTTGAGTACAAATCACCAAACCTCAACTCCTTTATCTACCAAATGGGCATAAAATCACTTACCTTGCTGGCCCTGGTCTTGGTTTGCTTCTAATTGAGTGATACTGAGAAAGTCACATCCCAATATAAGCCTTTTCTTTTCAGCAGGGTGGGAAGATTACATTATCTAAAAGATCCCCTTCCATCTCAAAACTTCTATCCCTCTCCTCCTCTCTCAGAAAAGATAAATAGCTCTACTGAGCTACTGAAGCAGTGACCAGGCACAGGAGATTGAGCCAAACTGAGGCCCTGAGTTAAAAGGACCATTGAAGCAAGCAGTAAACACAGGAGTCATAATATCTGCAATCGCTTAACTCATTGCTATGCATCAGACACCCTCCAGGATTCTCCCAAAACAACCCTGTGCACCTTCTCCCCATTCTCCTGATGAAGGACTTGAGGCTCCAGAGGTCCAGTTGAAACCGTTGTAATTAGCTGGTTATTAATAACAGAAAAAGAGCAAAGGGGAGGCCAGACCTTATAAGCATGTCATTTGGGCAGCTTCACCAGGAAGCTGCAATTTCACACTCCCCAGGGAACCACCGGCCCATTCCCCACAGACATCACTGGGGGAAGGGGCCCAACAAAGGGGAGATAGGTGCATGCACAGTGAAGTTGGGGTGACATAGCAAAAGTGCCTGTCAGTCAAACCTGGGAATAGAAATCATTGGCTAGAAGGGGTGGAGCCAATGCAAGCTCACAAAAACTTGGGATACATAATACCCTAAGGAACTCTCTCTTTCTCTCAGCTCTCTGGTTCCTTTGGTTCTGTTCTTGCTTCCTTGCATTCGCCCGTGTTCCCTCCATAGCCATGTGGCCCTGCAGACCTCACATGCAATGGACTGATGGATTGCAGTGGGGAACACAAACTAAGCTGGCCTGATGCTGGACTGGACCTGTGCTCCAACACGGAGTGGAAACTCTGGACACTGGCTTTGATCTTAGCCCTGCTGAAGCCACACCTACACTTCCTCCATGGCAGGAAGAGGGGAAATGGGACCTTGGAAACTCAGGGGTGTCATTCCATAGAAATAAAGCTTTCTATAATATCCCATCCTCCTGGGGGGGGAACCTCTGGAAATGCTTATTCCAGCAGTAACCCAAGAACCCCACTTCTACTAATAATACAGTCAGCTTTCATTCTTGGGCTTGGACCAGACATGTGTAGACAGGTACCACCTGGACAGGGCCTTGGGGCTGGTGAGAAGAAAATAACGCTGGGTGTTCAGTAAAGAGAACAGAAACCATGTCAGTGCTGGGGACAAAAGTGTGCCTGGGTGATGCCACCCATCTTCACTTTTCAGAGCCCTTACTGTCCCAGGGCTGCAGCCAGTTTGCAAGGCTACCTGAGAGGCACCGGCCAAGAACAGGGAAGAACAGAGCCCACAGAGAGGCTCTGCGAAAACAAAGAGAAATCTATAAAGACAGTATTTTTTCAAGGCATCAGAAGCGCCTGCTACATGAAAGCTCTGGTTAGGAAAAAGCGGAGTCTATTTCACTTTTTCTCCCCACCCAGCAAGAGGTACCTAATCAGCAGTCTCCCGGTCGGAGTGCCCACTTCAGCTGGGCGATTACCAGGAAATAGGTTCCGCGCATTTCTGTGCTTCCAAACAAAAGACCACGGGCACACCTATCCTGTGTCTGTGGCTTTCTGGATGGGCTTTCAGTGTCCTCTCCGTAATTCTGCCTCAACTGGTTTCCTCTTTCTCTCTGCAGGATTAAGTTACTCACGGGGTAAAATGCCCTCCATTTCTCAGACTTTGTGACACCTGCTAATCAAACTGACCAGAGCCAGGAATTTGGAGGCATTGTACTCTCCACAAAGCTAATCTCTGAAGTTTGCATCTGGCCTCTGCTGCAGGCCCTGGTCTGCTGGGTTCTTCAAATCTGGGGGTCTGAATGATCCCCTCTGCACCTCAGTTTCATCTTCTGCAAAAGGGGGCGGGAACTCTGCACTTGGGAGGGCATCTGTACAAATCCTTTTAAATTTGGGGAGTCAAGGGCAAGGATACTTTCTAATACGTAGAGAGAAGAGCTGCTTGAGGGAGTGGGAGGTGGGAGCCACGCGTGGGTGTGAGGAGAGGCCAGCGCCCGTGGTGGATTCTCCCGCTGACTTGGTTTTTGCCTCTGTGTCTGAGTTTTCCAAGCGAGGAAGCCCCGCCCAGGAGCCATCCTTCTTGTGAGCTCTGCGAAGAGTTTAGACTCGGAACAGAGACACAGAATACTTAAGGGACTCAGGAGAAAGGTGCTGCTGGTGTGACAAATGTCACATCCACGTGGCTTTACAGGGAATGGTGCCAGATGTTCTGTGGAACCTCAGCAAACAAGAACTAAAGATGATACAACCCACTTCTGTGTCTCTGCCACCAGCCCCGATCTCTCCAACCTTTGCAACCAAGGTTTCTGCCAGGCCCTGAACAATGGTGACCCCCTGAGGTTTGGTCACAATGATGGTTAACATATAAAATGTGATATTAATACAACCAATCTCTATCATTCATCTGCTGCATACCGTGGGCAGCCACATGCTGGCTGTTCCCACGTGTGACACTGACAGTAACTAGAGTTGAGATTTGCAGCACTGTTCTACCGCTTCCACGAGGAAGCTCAACGAGGTGAAGGAACATCTTTCAAGTCATGCAGCTACAAAGTGGAGAAGCTGGATTCACACCCAGGTCTGTCTGACCCCAGCACCCAGGATCTGGATTATTATTTAATATGGACTGGTGTCAGGCTGAGAAAAATGTCCCCAAATGCCTTCTCCTCATTGCCTGTTTCCTCAAACAAGAGTGTGGTCTGGCTCTGGTGTCAACTTGCTCCTAGTCTCTTCCCAAACCTGTTCCCAAGGTTTGTCCCTGTGTCGTTCTTGTTAATGCAAAGTTCTGTGCAGAGTCTGTTTTGTCCCTTACACAGGAAGATCAAGTACCTGGACCAGTGAGGACCTGGGCCAATGGAGAGCGTTTCAAGAGATAAAGATTAGCCCTGGCCGGGGGGCTCGGTTAGTTGGAGCGTCATTCTATACATCAAAAGGTTGCGGGTTTGATTCCTGGTCGGGACACACACTCGGGTTGTGAGTTTGATCGCTGGTTGGGGGTATATGGGAGGCAACCGATCAATGTTTCTCTCTCACATCGATGTTTTTCTT